AATCCCTGCGTACCGCAAACGCTGGCTTTTCCAATGGCAAAACGTTGTCCCGCGCCAAACCTGTCGTCGATCCCAATGGCTGGCAGATGTTACGGCGCTCCTGCCGAACGTGTCCCACTCTCCGGGGCGAGCGAAGATGCAGCTCTTCTCCTGATTAAATATTTATCCGTCATCGCCGACGACATCTGTCGCGACAATCTCGCGTTTTATTTGACCCGACTATATTTGCTCGGCGTTAGAGCGCTCGCGCCCACATAGCTCCGCACATGTCGAGCTCTTTACGCCCGCGCACCCGCACACCCACACACCCACACACGGGGAGCCCACGTCCAATTCGCTGGAGCAAGCGAATTTTCCGTTGACCTTGGAAGATGTTTGATCGTGAGTGGAAGGACGAAGGATCCTCGAGTCTTATCTCACGCAGGTCCAATGAGCGATGCTTTTCCTTTCCGTCGTGCAGCTTTATCCACCAAATCTCCGCCGCCTACGTTCGCGTCACGGATATTCGAGCCTTCAAATGATTTCGAGCACCTTTTGCAATCCGCAAAACATACCTGACGTTGACATTAAAGAAAATTCTGTGGCTCGGTATATTTAGATGTCCCTTTAATAGTGACCGATCGACCACATAAAACGTATCGTGTTGAAAAATTATAACTCAACTTGTTACGCTCAAACTCCAACTCTTTAACGTCGCTATTTTCTCTTGGCTTATAACGGTAATTTGGCGCTGACGTTCGACATAATTCCGTTACAATGGATCGACCGTTTTATAAACTCGTTGGCCAACTCTGTATTTTAATGGCTATAAATGCCGGTATTTTTTTCACATTAGCAATATTCGAATGGAATATCGTATGGTTTATATGGAATATCGTTTGGAAAAATTCATTGGCTAAATATAAAATTAAGATTGTAACTTTAATAAGACTAATTTTCAAAAAAGGTTTGCCACATAAATTATGGCCTCGTTGAAAGATGTGCAAAAATTGAATTTGAATTTGAATTTGAATTTGAATTTGAATTTGAATTGATGTGGACGGCCGTCGTAGGCATTCACCTTTGTTACTTCGTTGCCTCTAAGTGGGGAAAACGAGGTTGGTGAGGCGCCAAGCCGCGGATGCATTAGGAACAGTAGGAACCGCACCGTAACCCTTAATACTCGTGACCGCAAGCTTCATTTATATGCATGAGCCGCACCCGCTGACTTGCCACTCGCCTCTTCACCCTTCGGGAATTTCGCTTCCGGTGATCTCGGCCGAGAGGACCAATGGAACGAGCGAGTTCAAAACGCTTGTTCAAGCGATCGAATTTTGAGCGAACGTCGATGCTTGTTGGTTCGGTAAGGCCAATCGCTTTTATTGCTCTATTTGCTGAAAGGGCTGGATCATGCTGATAGTGCGCTCGATATTTAATTGACACGGAATTATACGTCTTATGCGGATATTGTAGTGTTGTCGACAATGGATGCTGGACAGCGAATATCGATGCATCGTCATACAGTTATTGAAAAATTTAATTCTCTATCTATGCGAGTTGTGTATACGTTATTCTTGACGAGCGTACATTTGGCCTTGAATATCATCGTCTTTGGCGTGCCATTTCGCACGAACCTTTTCATAGTCCGTCTTATTGCATGAGGAGATGAAACTTTTCCATTTTAAAAGACATAAATAAATTAAAAACGAATAACGAGATTTCAAGTCTCTGTAGAATTGTGAAAATGGCTGGGCCTCGATAGAGTTGGAGTGTCGTACGAGAATTTCGGGCAAAAAGGGAACGGTCGCGTAGAAAAGGGACAGGAATGAAAAGCCGAGGCTGATAAAAATCCAATAACCGATGTTTGCCATATATGGAAAGGGTAATCACGTTCATCACGCTGTGTGTCAATTCGTCATTCTGTTGAGTCGATCTGTACAGTGAAGCGAAACGGTCCAGTCGTTAGCCAGGAGCGGACGCCTCGATTGGCGATGGCGGCGGTGGGGACTGAGGGGGGAGAGAGTAGCCGTTCGCTCGAAAATCTTGATGAATAATGAACGGGACGTTTTGCGCTCTTAAAGCTCGACATTGGGAATAATTTTGACAGTGTCGGCGTCGTGAAGAATTTGTAAGTAACATGTCGTTTTAATCGATATACTTACGACGAAACTATGATGAATATCGTACCAATGAGCTTCGTGTCATTTCATCTATTATTAATTGTGTCATTCATTAATTAATAGGTCTTTCGCATTAAAAAAAAAAAAAAAAAAAGAAAAGAAATAAAAAAGCCAATTAATGACATACAAAAACAATTTTTATAATAAATAATATGTGTCACGAACTTATGTCATATCTGTTAAATGCTTCATGTAACTCTAGTAATAATATAAAAATAATATTAGCGAAATTTATCGTAAAATCTTACTCCGTCGCATATTATGAAATATAATATATATATATATATATATATATATATTAAATCTTTATTGGATCATATGAAATGACGTATAAATTGATATCTACTATTCGATAAATTTTATTGCTCTATATTTTTTATTGTTTCTTGATTATTAAGTAGTTTATTATATTTCATTTCATTTTATATATATATTTTTTTTGGTCAAGATAAGCTTTCAGAAAAAATCAGAACTCTTCAATCAACAGTCTATTAGATGTCATAGAAATGAAATTTGGATTTGTCCAAATTGATGATAAGAGCCTTTCAATAGCACATGCATTCATTAAATAATTGTTTATCGCTACACTTTACTATTTTGTCAATAATAACCAATATTAAAGTATTTATTAATTCAAAATTTTTATATAATTTATAAATAATCAAATTTTTTTCTATTATCGAGTTGTTATTTTATGTAATTACTCTATTTTTAATTTGTAATTAGAATAAGGATTGAGATTTTAAGATTTATGGCTCTTTTAAGTCATTTGTCGAATATTCATTATATCGTCGATGACATTTTATGTAATTTTTAACGTTAAACGTTAAAAGCTATGAGAATCATTATGAAGATATTTAACGATATATAACTTAACACGAGAAATCACATAAATGCATTATAAAATTCTATGAGAATAAAATTTATAGGATTACATTTAGTTTTGGAATATCTTATCTGATATACGCATTAATACAGACAACCGAAATGTATAAAAGTATATAGTAGACATAAACATGACAGTATTGTAATTACTATTTTAATTGCTATAATAATCATAAGTTTTTAAGTACATTTTAAATATACTAAGTCCTTACTAAGAATTCTTATCAGTACAATAGTATTAATTTAAAAGAAGAAATTTAGGAATAATATTGTAGAATAAGAAGTATGAACAAACTTGCGGTGTTTTAAAACGAGGTAGGTAAGGAAAAGATTGACATAAATTATCGTAGCTCGTACGGGGAGGTTTTACTGGCGATGAAAAATTATAAAGAAAAAGAAGGTAGCATGCAGAGTAGCGCCAGCGAATGAAAAGAGGGAAAAGGGATGCTAGAGCATAGTCGTGAGTGTACATACACTCAGTGTGTGTACATAGAGTGAGTTGACCGTCCAGACGAGCGCTTAAGCAAACACAAATCCACTGCTTTAACATGCAGCTCACCACGTATGTGAGAGGGCGAATGTTTCGTTTGTTTTATTTGTTAAATATTTCATTTGCTAGACACGGTCGTGGCTCGGGTCAGCCAATTACATTCTGCGCGCGATTGTCGAGGGAACCATTGAAGAAGGGGCAGATAGGTCGACGCATGACGGTCGGGGCGGGAGCGCGGCCAGAGCACGTTGGCGGGAGGGGGCGGGGGAGAGGGTTGGCGATGGTGGCAATAACGTGGTTTTGCGATAACGAAGGATGGACCATCTCTTATCGTTACAAAGATGGTTGGAAAAACTTTTAGAAAAATCTTCCGCTTCATTCTTAGCTTGAAATTGGTCGCCCAATTGACTTGTTATTGAAAAATTTGCGACGTTAATGTGCGCAATTTTTGTTATGAGCTTTATTCTTATATTCTTGTAAGTCGGAATTATAATGTTATTTTTCAACAATCAAATTACATCTTTAATTATTTAATTGTAATTGCTTATTAATAATAAGTCTATTTCTATATTTTTAATGAAGTACTTTTAACTAATGAAATGACTTGGCAGTATTGTTAAAAAAATTAATTTCAAGTTTCTTGCGTTTGAGAACTGAGTGACAAATACACGACTTAAATAGTTTTGCACTATATTCATTCACACGCTACTTACATGTTATTAATACGAAAAGTACGTGCATCTATTATTTCTTTGGTACTTTCGGATACTGAGGTGATGAAATTATTCTGCATTATTAATTTGCATATTATTAATTATTAGGCATATGTGTCAGTTAAATAATTTAACAGTACATACAGGCCAAATGCGATACATAATGAAGTTGATATAGAAATTAGCTGTTTGTGTTGTGGAACTCCTCTGAAATTATCGAAAATTGTAGGTTTCAATTATTAATGAAATTCTAAAGAAGCAGGTATTGTGTCTTGTCATAATATATTTAAGTTTCGAGGAAATAAATTGTTAGCAAGCATTTAGTTAGTTATAATACAGTGCATAATATAAATGTATTTGACAATAAGATATTTCATCCAACAAAATGTATTTATTATCGAACACTAATTGACAATGAATAAATAATTGATAAATTAAATTTATTATTTCTAATTAATGTCTAACGGAAGACGTTTGTTTTGTGTTAAAACTTCTTCGATAACGGGGCCAGATCGATGTAAGTTTATATTATAAAATGTATACATATATATATAAATAATAGTATACTAGTGTATAGTATAGGTATACTGTACCAGGAATTTTATATGCAGATAAACAATTGAAACTTTCAGCTAATCATATTTAAAAGACAATAAAAAGATTTCCCAGCGCCTTGACATTGATCACTTTTTCGTTAAGTACGCAAGCCTAATTGGAGAACAATTGCCAAGGAAAGTTTGTTTCTAATTGCAGGTTTGGTTCCAAAATCGTCGCGCCAAATTTCGCAAGCAGGAGCGTCTCGCCCAGCAAAAGTCCGGATCCTCGCAGTCCGGAGGCTCAACTATCGACGGAGGCTCATCCGCAGGGGGTGGGGCTCCCAGTCCACTGTCCGGTAACGTGAAAGCCGAGGGTCACTCGCCCCGTAGCCCAGCAACCCCACCGAGCAGTAATACAGAAGTGAAACCAATCGCCAATCAGAATCTGCTTAGTGTCAAGCACCAGCAGCAACAGCAGCAACAGCAGCAACAGCAGCAACAGCAGCAACAGCAACAGCAGCAACAGCAACACCAGCACAGCGAGGCCCACACCGGGGACACGGGAAATTCGCCCAACGGGCGGGTGGGTGGCGGTGCCTGGGGTTCATGCAGTCCTCGGCCCTTCTCCGCGGCTCTCCCGCCCTATCTCCTCGATCCCCTGCCTCTCAAGACGGCGAATCTCTATTGAAGATACTTCTCGAGGGCACCTGACGTCTACAGTCCATTAATTTCCTGTCGATGTTCGCGAGGATGTTCGCGGAAGTCGCGGGACGATGAGACGAATGCTCGTTTCCGGCGAGGTTAGGCGATCGCGAGACTTTGCATTCGGAAGATGAATAATCGAGGTCCGAAGCGTCCCCTATTGACTAATCGACCTTATCGTATAACCATTCGCTTATCGCAGGTTATTGGAATACCTTTTTTTTCTTCGTCTGTTGACGCACTCTGCTGATGCGTTCGAGCTCGACGAATACGTGCGATTTACGAATAAGGTTAGACTTTATGGAATTTTTCGTCAAATGAATATTCCTCGAATTACGATAACTTCGTATAGGCTTTAGCGAATAGACGACATCGGCTTTTTCTTGTAAATTTTCATACAAATAAATTGGCTTTTTATTGCTTTTGTTAATTGGGTTTGATATTATTAAGGTAAATCGATTTAACGTGCGCAAATGTCGGATAATCCATACGTATAAACTGATTTCGTGATTTTACATTTATGGTAGCACGAAGTAAGCTTTGCATATCAGTTTTTAAGTAAATTTCAAGCATATAATAAATACAGAACTACGTTCATCACATAACAATATATATAAAAGATTTAATGTAAATTATCGATAAATTATAGCTTCGATATTTCAGCAACAAGTGTAATAAAATCAAATCATCTATTATGATTTACATATTATAAAATGATTCGTTTAAATTTTCTTCCATTCAATAAAAGAAAATTCGCTTCATTAAATAAAGAGCGCAAAAATTTTATTACGCTAATTTATTAATAATTATAGAATATTATTCGCTAAAGCATCGAAGTATCTGTCTCAATGAGTTTTCGAGATAATAATATAAGAAAGCGCATCTAACATTGTACATATAGTCGTTTTTGTCGCTAGACCGATTAAGGATTCGTGCTGAGGATAATGAGGACTTAATTAGCTTGTTAATTATCGATTTATTATTTTCCTAATATAATTTGATACGATATTTCAGCCTTCGAAATATGATTAACATTTAATTAATATTCCAACGAATATATTGTAATAATATACGATCATAATTTTTTCTTTACATTTTTATAATAGATGTCTAATTATTAAATCGAATAATAACAAAATTACACGTAATTTCATTAGCGTATTAAATTTTCACTTTCAATATGACTAAATACATAAAAAAATCCAAAATAAATAAAATTGTTTTATATATGAAAAAAAAAAAAATAAATAAATAAATAAATAAATAAATAAATAAATAAATAAATAAATAAATAAATAAATAAATAAATAAATAAATAAATAAATAAATAAATAAATAAATAAATAAATAAATAAATAAATAAATAAATAAATAAATAAATAAATAAATAAATAAATAAATAAATAAATAAATAAATAAATAAATAAATAAATAAATAAATAAATAAATAAATAAATAAATAAATAAATAAATAAATAAATAAATAAATAAATAAATAAATAAATAAATAAATAAATAAATAAATAAATAAATAAATAAATAAATAAATAAATAAATAAATAAATAAATAAATAAATAAATAAATAAATAAATAAATAAATAAATAAATAAATAAATAAATAAATAAATAAATAAATAAATAAATAAATAAATAAATAAATAAATAAATAAATAAATAAATAAATAAATAAATAAATAAATAAATAAATAAATAAATAAATAAATAAATAAATAAATAAATAAATAAATAAATAAATAAATAAATAAATAAATAAATAAAACATAACAATTTTCTTATTTAATATCAATGATTTTATATTTCTCATTTTGTATTTTATATGTTTGGGAATTTCTTTCATCTATACTATATCGTATGAAAAATTTCGTATGACAAAACAATGAATTTTATAATAATAATATTATAATCCCATTATAATGAAGTTCCTTAAATGTATAAATTTTGTTCTCAACTTCAATTAATTTGTTTCACAGAGATATATTGTATATTAAAAGTCTCCTTGTATATTAGTGAAATGAGAATCTAATGATGATTCTCAGTTTTTGTAAACATAATTTCAAACAATTAAATGCATGATAAAGTTAATTGTTATTTAGGTAAGTTTTACTGTAAGCGTAGATCTCTTTTATAAAAGAAAATGATGAAAAAGTAGCTTACGCTCTGGCGAGATTGTAATTCCTTCCATATAATAAAATGTATAGTATTTACTATATACTACAGCACCCTTAAAAATTACCGAAACGAAATTTTTGCCGTGACTGTATGATCGTAAAAATTAATATATTGAATATTTATTGAAATATCTTAAAGACATAGTCTAAAACTGTAATATGTAATGAACTTGGGATTCGCAAAAATTGTATTATACAATATTTATTCTTTTAAAAATTGTTTCAATTTCATTTACGTCATTAATTTTTACTCATAATTTAACAGACATTTTACAATGAAAAATAATAACCAATAGTATAATATTGAATGATGTGATAATCGTTGTTTGCTAATTGATTGATTTTCATGTGACAATTAAAAAGCACATTTGTTCAACAATATTCACATCGAAAATAAGTTGAAGAGAGATTACTTAATAAATAAGAAAGTCATCTGAATTATTTTATTATAATTATATTATTCGGTTAGAAATATATTTTTATATAATTAAAAATAAGTTTATCTGTGTATAGAAGTTATGATATATCGAATAATTAATTCGCTTGTCAATCGTATTCACGTCCAAAGTGCCAAACGATGTCGCTAGCACATATAAACATTTATTTGCCTTTTCTCAGTACGAATCCTAAAGTGATGCGTGCAATAGAAAATGAAGCAACGGCGGCGTCCAAAAATTAAGGTTAATTATTATTAAGTATATTATTATGTGTGACTGGAACTTGTACAGTTGTTGCTATAAATATATGAAATTAGTGTTTTACACCATATTCATTTTTCTTTTAACCCAAACCTACTCAATATTTCATGAACGAGCGACGTGCATAAGGGTAAAGCATCTTTATAATTTCATGAAATAGTCAAGACATTCAACGACATGCAAATCTTGTATATTCATTTTACCTCGTATTTACTTTTTCACATTACAAACATTTTCAATAAATAAATCATTTATTAGTATATGCATTTATATGAATTTATATGAATATATATGAATATATATATATATACATATCATATATATATATATATATACACATATATATAATATGCATTATATTATATAATGCAATAAAAATATTTAATATAATCGATACATTTATTAACGTCAATATGACAATATGAGAATATTTACAAACTTGAAGTACTTGAGAGCTGTCAAATTTACGTAATATTTCCTCCATTGATTAAATTATAAATATGACAATACTTTATCATTCTTACTCTTTCATTGATTTTAATATCATTCGCTCGTGACCAAATGTTGAGCATAATTTTTTATTTTATTTTAGCGTCGAACGTGATTTTTTATACTAATAGATTAAAATTTTAATCTAATTGAAGCATTGTAAAACTATTTTAAATCAAATTCAAATTCTCAAAAACATAGGAATTTGTATTTTATTTAGCTAATTACGTGTGAACCCTTTAAGGTATTGTTTGCAATTGAGATTAACAAATAGGTGAAATTTTAACGATTTCAGCATTTTCAACAACTTATTAATACAAATTTTTTGTGTTTTATTTATATTTCTAAACTAAATTTTTTCTTTCATTTTATCCAACATCGATAAATGTAAAATCAATAAATTATAAAGCAATTAAGCTGCATCAGGTTGTCATAAATAAAACGCAATCAATTTCCCTTATTTTGTTGGTATATTTATTTTAAATAAATCAATTCTCATTCTTATTCGTAGTTACATGAAATATGCTCTTGATGAGATGATATACGTACAATGCAATAGTTACCAGTGCAATTTATCAAATTTATCATTTAGTGTATTATTAAAGGTATATAACGACAACGATACAATGACTTTTGAATTTTATTTATTTCAGTACTTTTTAGCGAACGGCGACAGTGACGACAGTTCCAAGAAAATTGCAATGGCAACGAGCAGTGAAAAAAAAGCGACATTCTGAATTTTCACTTTTTTATTTTTTTATTTTTTTTATTTTTTTTTATTTTTTTTTTTTTTTATTTTTTTTTTAACATTCGGGAGTCATAAATCCTCGCCAAACAAATAGTATAATAAATTATCAATAGCCATTATAATTATAAATCGGCAATAAATCATTAACAACTAAAATGATATTGAACGATCCAAAATATGAAAAATATTTCGTAGAATCTTTGCATTTTCCTACTCGACGTATTCGAGTTTTTTTCTTCTTTTTTTTCTTCTTTTTTTTTCTTTTAAGATAAAGTAAATTAAAGGGGAAATAGTGCAAAATTGTCGAACACCGCGCGTTATCATTATTATCTCGAGATTTTGTCGTGCACTGTACAATGAAGTATTTTTTGGCCGTCGAAACTGTGATAATTTTGCTATGAATGAATGCGACGAATTATTCATACTGGATAGACAGTGATAGATTAAAGGCTAGTCAATAGTCATTATTCGTTGTTATTCTATCGAAAAAGAAAGAGGAAAAATAAATATAATAATGAAGGCATTTAAAGGGAATAAAATTGAGAATAAAATAAAGAGAAAAAAAATTTCGATACTAATATGTAAAACGGCGTGATGTGTATGAGAAAACCAATCAAAAGAAAAAGAAACTTATTGAACAGAAGTGAAGATTAAATAAAGCGAATGATGAGATATGTTTATGATTTTGAGGCGTTGCTTTTGTTTTTCTTTTTTCGTTATCGCGTAGTCTTTTGTTGATTATGAATCGCGAGACTCCTTTATTCCTTTGAAATTTTGACGAATCGGTCATAAATATAATAGTTCCCTGTAGAAAAAATCCCGTAGAACGTACGGAAAGACCTAAGTAAAAAAAAAAAAAAAAAAAAAAAAAAAAAAAAAAAAAAAAAAAAAACGATACTCACGCTAGTTTATGAGAATACACTCATAATAATAACAATTAAATACAATTTTATTTTTTTTTAAATAAGAATGGAAAGATATATAATTTTAATTAAAAAATATCCCATTATTGAAGGTTTGAAACATTGTATTACTATATTATTCGCATATATATATATATATATATATATATATATATATTTATTAAAATATATAACTTCCGTTACCTTCGTTGAATATTGAATTTTCAGTCAGTGGAATATTTTAAAATTTAAAGCCTCCCATTATTTCAAATACGCCTATATAGTCCTAATTAATAATGGAGTGATTATTGTAGGTTCTACTAGATTTCTTGTATAGAGTTCGTATAATATATGTATGCATATATTAATATAGATCTCGAATGAATTTTAGATAGGGTCGTTCGTTAATTAAACTTTTCATTTTTACCACATTATAATGTAAGATTAAAATCAATACAACATATTCCTCCTCTTCCCTAAAGCATTTCATCCCTAATCACCTTTGCTCATTTTTTGGTTGCATGGGCCGTTTCTGACATAACAATGTCGAGATATTATTATAATATATCAATATTTAATAGATTGGATATCGGTGGGAATAAAAACCAAAAGTCGGTTTGAGGGATGGGGATTATGTATATAATATAATATTTATATATAATGAGTAAAATACAGTGTTTTTCTTTCGCGATTCGTACGTCGCGAGGTCGCTCGAATTCGTCAACGTAACTTATCAATTATGTATCCTAAATACAATTGTGCGTATTCGTGTTCGTGTTAGTGTATGTGTAGGCGCGCGCGGTAGTGGGCGCGCGCGCTGGCGTAAGCGGGTTGTACGCATGCTTGTGCGTGCCCGTGCGCGTGTATTGCGTAATATCGTCTCCATTATGGCCGGGCGCAAGTGTCCACGAATTAACCGAAAGCAATGTGATGGTGGTAGTGGTGATACGTTACAGCGACGTGGTGGCGTTAACCGGTCGCGTCTCTTTCATCGCTTCATTATTCGTACGTTGGATGCTTTGTTGTTTAGACACGAAAGTACATCGATAATTAAGAAACCATTGTCATTTGACATTTAACATTCGACGGTGAAGATAGTTTGCACAGCTGGCCAGTCTAATGTAACGGTAGCGGCGTATTTCGTTGGCTAGAGAGTCACGTTGTGCGTTCCGTTACATTTATTTCCGACAATGGTGAAAGGACCATCGTGGAATGAATGAATCGATGCGCTTGAGAACGATTCGCTCGTTGAAGCCTATCCTCGAGGCATTAAAGTAAGAAGAATCGGTGGGACGTGATAAGGTGGGACAGAAGGACCTTGGTTGCGTAATGCGTAAGGCTAATGGTCGCGCGGCTAATATGGCCGCTAAATTGGGAATCGAAAGTAGGTTCGAGCTCGTCGGTCGTTGGTCCTTGCACAGTTGGTCTGTCGGAAAGGAAATTGTTCTCGCGCGCGCCCCCGCGCTTACGTGTAGTCGTGTGGGTGAGTGAGTCTGAAATGGGTCGAGAGCGAAAGTCGTGGATGCGCCGGTGGTTGCTCGTGATGGTGGTCCTAGGTTGGTGGCACTAGGCCATCGTGAGGGTGCCCGCCCCCATGCCGAAGCCGACGCCCTTGGGGCCGAAGTTCCTACCGTAGCAGCCGCGGCAGTAGATATCGCCGTCGGGCGCGTCGTTGAGGTTCGTGGAGTCGAGGGAACGATGGCAGGCACCGCAGTTGAAGCACCTCTTGTGCCACACGCGGTTCTTCGAGATCATCTGCTCGGCGGCGTAGACCGGGTAGCCGCAGCGCGAGCAGCCGTGTCCGTCGTTTCGCTTTTGGCCAAGATCGGGCTTGGGGTCGTTGCTGGATGACGGGCAATTAAACTTTATTAGTATTTTTAACAATATTTATTGGGTTTGGGGAAGGATTGAGCCTCGACTGGGCTATATGTATCGAGACCTCACTGGTCCTAGATTCTATTCAAACTCGGGGCGCATGCTCTATTGGAGATTCTCTACGTAGCAATGAAAGAATAGCTCTCCCTCACAGCCTTTCTCAACACAGTCGCTCTCCAACGTGGGCTCACGCACGCACACGCACGCGCACGCGCACACACACGCACACTCACTCTCTTTTACTCTCTCTCTCTCTCTCTCTCTCTCTCTATCTCTATCTCTCTCTCTCACACTCTCTCTCAATCTTTGTCACTCTTTCTCTCTGTCTCTCCCTCACTTTCTCTCACTTTTTCTCTCTGACTCTCCCTCACTCTCTCACACTCTCTCTCAATCTTTGTCACTCTTTCTCTCTGTCTCTCCCTCACTTTCTCTCACTCTTTCTCTCTGACTCTCCCTTACTTTCTCTCACTCTTTCTCTCTAACTCTACCTGTCACCCTCTCTAACACTCTTTTACTCTCTCTCTCTCTCTTTCTCTCTCTCTTTCTCTCTCTCTCTCTCTCTCGCTCTCTCTCTCGCTCTCTCTCTCTCTCTCTCTCTCTCTCTCTCTCTCTCTCTCTCTCTCTCTCTCTCTCTCTCTCTCTCTCCGTCTTTAAAACTTTCTCCGTCATTGCCTCATCCGCCATCATCGTCATTCATTGGAACTACTTGTCGCTGAATTAAAATCAGCTTTGTTACTTTGACATTGAAACAAGAGCTTTTCTTCGTTTATTCGATCAAATGGTCTAAGCTTGGAAAATGCTCGTATCTACGGTTACATAACATCAACAAGTACTATCGTCAGATATAATTGCAAACAAAATTGGCAAATACAAGTAAAAATATACATGCAGAGGGATGACACATTTTCAGTCCATCATTTGCTGACGTGCAGGTTTTCATTCGTAAACATCTAAGCCATCTTCGATCGACGTCTAATCGGTATTCATCTATATCGACTAAGCTCAAGCACGGTTATAATAATACGAGCAATAAAGATTATTTGATTAATCGGATGATACTGGCACATAAAATTTAGGCTCGCTCTTACAAACTTAAGCTTAAGTAGTTTCTAACCATTTAAACTATAATCTGGATTTTTCACCTACTACTATGAACCTGCTGACTATGTATGGTCGCTACATTTTGCTTCTTGAGATTTGAAACAAACGAAAGTCAATTACAAACTGCACTTCCTGGACAGCTGTACCTCCCGTCTCAACGACATTTATAATTTCAACCGGTATAATGATTCTTAATTGCGTATTAATTGCTTACTGGCTAGTTTCTCTGAAAATTAAACTTGAACGTAGCATTTCCAAAATAATAACACTTTAACGGGACGCGGGTGGTGAATACGTTAGATCGGCATTAATTTCTTTGGAGTCCGTGGTGAAGGCCACCACGGCCCACTTACCGATTATGTTATATATTTTGGACGACTGGCGTTCATCTTCGAGCCCAATTGACGAAGGCCAATTGGCTCGATGGAATTTTTGCCGAAACTCAAGGGTCGAGAGTAACGTAGTAAGACAGTCGCGAATAAGTCAACCTGAATCGCTGCCAAGTGATCGACAAGTGCCAATAATACACTCGACGAGACTGGAGCGAATCAGGCAGCTCGAGCGATTATCTCGTGGAAGGACGACGTGGTTAATAGTGGCGATCGGA